CCCCAAAACCCCAAAACCCCAAAACCCCTTGTGATTGAAATAGACATAATGAGAATAAAAAGAAATTTGAAATTATTTTCTATGTTAGAATTTTTCAAAATGTAAAAATTAAGCCTCTATTAATGAAAATAAACAAGTTATTACACCATAATTTAAAGTTTCAAAGTGCACAGGAAAACAGAGTAATTATAACATACAAGTGATCATTTTCCCATCTAATGGCAGTTTATCCATCAGTGCTTGAGTTCCAAAAGCAACTGGAAGTGAAGTCTAATGTTTCACTTGCTGCCGCCTTCTTTTACATTACTGATGTAACTACCATGTATTTGAAGTTTTGATTATTATTAAGCAAATGCTTTATTGCTTCTTCATTAGTCTGACCTATTTGAGTGGCTACACTAGTCTGATTATATTCCTTGTTTTGAAAAATCTTGGCACAGACCTGATTTAATATTTATTCACACTCCACTCTTATATGTCCAAATACTACGCTATCTTACGGCATGTTTTTAACTCTTAATTTAAAAATTAAATTTATATCAATTATTATAGAAATTAAAATAATGATCAACTACTACAACTAATCAATCCTAAAGAGAGAAAGAATGAAGGTAGATTTATAACTGAAAATCTCCTGTTGTCTATTTATATCTAGAGGGAATTGGTATAATTAGCTGCTGATAATGATCACTTTTTCTAAAAAGCTCTCATTATCAATAAAGTTCATTTATAGCATAATTCTATTGCTGCTAGAACCTCATGAACTAGTTTGCTTAAAATTATTGCTATTAATGTTAATTAAGTTGCTGCTGATATTGCTAGGCCATGTTTTGATTCAATTAGAAAGGGTTTCCATTGACTTAATTGGGCTAATAGGACTTTTCAAACATAAAAGGCTGGTAAGAGTTTAAACTTTTGCCATAAAAACCTTAATTAATAGTTTGAAAGTTCTATTGAGCTGGTTTTATCTTATCTTCCTAAGTTTAACTTTAAATTGGAGTAGAAAAGTAATTTGAGCTAAAGATGGATTCTAAAGAAGCTTTAGAATTCATTTCATTAATGTTATCGTCTTTTTACTTTTGTCTAGTTTCATTATTGCTTTGAATGTGATTCTAGATTTCTCTTCTGAGGACACTTGAGTTGTTAAAGAAAACAGACTAATTCATAAAGGAAGTATCATTGGCTAAATTATCCTCTTCACTGTTATCAGAGGAGTTTTAATCCAATTATTCCTTTTTGATTGAATTGGTGCCAGTAAGAGTCTGGAATTATTAACTCTTTTAGAAATTATTATTAATTGGCTATTAATTTGTTTATTCTAAGGTTGCTAACCTAGTTTGCCTCTCAATCTCAATGAGGAAAGCAGCATCATAATCTGTCTAAACTTTTTTATTAGCTTTTTGAACAGGCATCTTCATACTTTATTAAGATTACATGTTATAGTTATTGCTACTGCTGTTAGTAGAGTTTTGAATAGTAAAAATACTATCATTTTAATTTGAATAAGAGACCCTAGATGAAATAGACTAGGAAGGACTAAAGCTATTCGAAGAGGTGCTTTATGAGTGCTAAGTCCTCATTTGTTATTAGTTATATTAATTAATTTCTTCAAAATATTAGGAATATTCTGGTCTCGGATAGCTTTGCAATTTCGCTTGCTCTTGAAAGACAAATTTTGGAGGAGTCATGTACTAATGATTCATGCTCTAGTTTTACTATTATATAGTGGAGTTAGCTTATCTCTAATTCATAAAGCTACCCATATTCATCTGAACTTATTGTTATTACTGTTTCTAGATATCAAAGTAGCAATCTTAATTATTAACGTATTAAGTTTACTATAGGTTTTGAGATTAATGATTCTAGAATTTATAATATTATTGTTATTATTGCTATTATTGCTATTGCTGATAATATTTTTATTATTAGGAATTGTGAGTCTAGTAGGCAAAATCTTTATTCATTTTACTCATCAGCTACTAGATTTACTGATCTCTAATCTAATCATCCTAAGCTTTCTACATGGGACTGCTTGGGAAGATTGTTGTTATATCTCCTACAGAATTTAAGTTAAAGTCTCTCAGAGATTATTCTGAGCTTTTCCTAGAGTCAATACTTTTATTGACCTAACTATTATTACTAGCTATGTCACTGACTATGACTATTGACTGCTACGAGGATAACTTCAAGCCAGCCAGCATTTCTTTCTTCTCTGCTACGGCTATGATATTAGCCATTTTTTAGTTAATAATCTTTTCCTTCTTGGCTTTCTGTAATGACTAATGATTTACAGGCATTGCCTTCTTACAGTCGATCCATTTACCATGTAAAAAATGTTTTTCTTTCTCATCCATTACCTTTTCTACTGAATCATCTTTCTAGAAAGTGATAAAACCAAAACCTCTAGATTTCAATGTATTCTTATCTACCATTATTATGCACTCTTCTATGTTTCCAAAGACTGAGAAGTACTCTTTTAATTCCTGTTAACTGACTTCGTGGTTCAGGCCTCCAACGAAAATTTTAGTAGTTCTAAAACTCATAGGGTCCTCTTCTAAAGATATGCAGCTTAAACTAATTTCATTAAAGTCTAAACCCTTCTTAGAATCGTCAAAGTCAAACATTTAATCCAAGGAGCTAATCTGTGTGGTGGAATCTCTATCTGAATTCTCTATATATTGATTCAAATAATATTCAGAAGACTATATTTTTTGATCGTGAGTTTTCTCAATTTCTATAACATTTTACTTATAATGATCATTTAGATTAATGTCTGAAATTTGAACAATTTAGCTCTCAATATCCGATAATACCTAATAAAGTTATGATAAAAAATATGAATACTTAGGCTTTATCCTGAATTTAAAAGAGTTATTGTGACTATTTTATAGTGCAAATCTAGTCTTAAATAGACTACTTTCTACTTAGAGAAATAATTTAGCTCTGGATGCCATTTTTGTTTGGGAGGATCGAATCTAATTTTGAGTTGTGGAATGTTCTATAAAAATTGAGTCAAAATTTAATATTACCTATCACTAATTTCATTCTCGCTACCATTATGGATGCTAGCAACATCTTAGTTTCGTGATCCAAATTAGTTGACTAAATGATTTTAATTTTAGTCAAACTCTGTCTAATTTAGAGTGGTATTCGTATTTTGAGTAGGTTATATTATATCTGATTATATTTTCTTGCAAACATCTAATGATGAGATGGCTTTCTGGGTCAATTTCTTTTATTTTCGTGATTTAGACTTCTATTCCTCCTTTGCGGGCTCTGATTTCTTCTCATTCTTTGGTATAGTTTATAATTTTTCTTTTGGAACTGCTCTCTTGCAATCAATCTATTTCAAATTTGTTAGGAAATGATTGAGATATTACTTATTTTCCATCCAGAAAATGTGGACCCTTGGACAAAACATTATTAACTTGGTCTTGATTATTCATAATGACGAATCCAAATCCCCTTGATTTGTCTATAGATAAAGTCAATTAGGTATATGTTAGTCTTACTCGTCACTTTATCAATCATAAGCATACATTCTTCTACGTCTCCAAATTGCTTAAAATATTGACAAAATTTCTCTAATCATTATTAAAAAATGAAGTAAATACCTTGAGTTGTTGACGACGCAAGGCCACCGACAAATAATTTTCTATAATAAGGTCAGATCAAGTTAAGGAACAGTTAGTTGATTTGACTTACCCTTCATGCAGTTGATTAGGGTTGGACATACTTAGTATAATAGTATAGTTACCTGTCGCTTAACTGTGATGATACTATAATTAAAATTATTAGATTTTATCTATCACTTCTTATAAATACACAGAATTATAAATTTATCTTATAAAAAATGATATATCAGAGATTTTAATAAAACATCTTAAATCAGTAATTATCATGAGATTAATTTGTTTTTAGAATTGAAAATGATGAACAACTACTGCAAAACTAGCAGTTTAGTGAAGTCAATCAACTTCATGATTTGTCTGAATTAAGCTTTATAGACAATCAGCATAATAGGTCATCACTTTTGCCAACTAGATTTCCTTAATCTGAGGGTAATGTTAATGGAAGCAACATTTAAGCAAATTATGGAAGGCATAATCCCAGTGCTGGTGGATGACTTGAGGAACTTGCTTAGTTTCTGGGCGACAATAGCAGCATAGTTGTTGATGGTGTCGCTTACTCATTCAACACTTAACTTATGATTTAAAGAGACTCTCTTCACAGATAAAATGTCAGAGTCCAACCCAGACTATCGAATGAAAGTAGCAACCCAAATTCAGCTCAGAGATTAAGTATCTTGACTGGAATGAGAATCCCTCCAACTCAGCCTCTGGCAAACATCATCGAAGAGGAATCTAAGTAAGTATAATATATTTCAATGAGAGGCAGAGAAGTTCTTTGTTTATTACCTTTTTAATTTTAACTTGATTCTAAATCATGTCTAATTTATAGTGACTCCAAAAATCATGATTTAAAAAAAGTTAAATAGAATTACTATGAATCAGAAATCAACCAAGATGAATATGATAGGTAGATCAGTAGGGGTAGAGAGAGCAAAAAAATTAGAAATTAAGTTGAAAGTGATACTAACTAAGAAAATAACAACTTCAAATTTACCTAAAGTTAGGCAATTTCAGACAATTTAAATCAGCAATCCTTATTAACTCAATAGCCTTTAATGAAAAATGTCTTCTACGATTTTAACTATGATGTAACCCTAATTCTTATTTATTTAATATAGATAAGATTATACCAGCAAGAAAAAGAAGCCATATGCAAACTTCTAAATGAATACTACCCACTTTATAGAGGATTCATTAGACTTTTACCCTAGCATTACAATACCAAATTTTGTCAAAAAGATCATAAGAGAGTATTTGATAAGTATTCTCAAGGTAAAAATACTATTGGTTTTAATATGACTGGTGGCTTAGATATGATTGGGTTTTTGGTGCCTGCATTTGATTTTGAAAAGCCAGAGCAATGGGATGAGTGTATGAGTAAAGCATGATGCTGTTCTCTGGTTGTAAATAGATGTATGATATAATTACTACTGAAATGAATAGATATATCCCATATCAGTTATTTTACTCATTTGCTTCAAAATATTAACATTTACAAAATTTCTTATTAAAGATTACTCTCATGGGGTTTTGGGGTTTTGGGG